TAATATATTTAATATATTATTAATTAATATATTTAATAATATTATTTATTTAATATATTATTATTTTAAATATTATTACACGTTTTTAAAAATTAAATTACCAAACACAATTTCAGTTTTTTTAAACTGAAAACAATCTCAGAATAAAATTACCAAACGCATTTTCATAAATGATTCAAAAATAAAAATAATAACGTTTTCGTTTTCATTTTTATATAAAAAATAAAAATATTTTAGAACCAATTCTAAACGCACTTTAATATCTCTTTAAACTCATTCTGGTGGTTTTTAATTTAAAAAAAATAGTTTTGTTGGTGCAATTAATTTTGAGACTGACAACTTTGATCATATTAAATTTTTAAAGATCTCATGAGTTATTTTAAATATATTTAAATGGTCGGATGAAAATGAATATGAGTATGATAAAAATAGAAAAAAACTAAATATATTTAAGTGGTCGATGAAAATGAATATGAGTACGATAAAAACAGAAAAAAACTAAATATATTTAAGTGGTCGGATGAAAATGAATATGAAAATAAAATTGAAAATTGAAAAACTAAAATATATTTAAGTGGTCGGATGAAAATAAATATAAAAATGAAAATGAAAATAAAAATGATCAAATATTCTTCTTTCCCTGTTGGTCGACAATTGGCCTTTAGCCTTTTCTGAGTCCTCGTTTCTCTTTTATCAAATTTTACGTTGTCAGCTTTTGACGTTCCTGTTTTGTCCGCTTACGTTTTCATCATTGCCTTAGATATTACAAAGGATCTGACTGCTTGATTTCCACGCGGCACAAATGAGATTTTTTTTTTTTTTTTTGATAAAAGCGCAAATGAGAAAATTACTAAGGCCTGTTTTTTCTGTTTTTGTTTTTATTTTTTACAGTTTTCGAGAACAAAAAATAGAAGCGCGTGGACAAAATGCCTTTGGACTAAAATTTTTTATACATTAAAAATAAAAAAGGTTTTGTCCTTATCTAAAAATTAGGAGCGGGTAAAAAAAATACGTTTAGCGTAAAATTTTTTAAAAATAAAAACATTCTTATCTGAAAATTAAGAGCGCGTAAAAAACACGTTTAGCGTAAAATTTTCTAAAAATTAAAAATAAAAACGTTCTTGTCCTGAAAATTTGAAAACGATTTATTTCCGTTTTCATTTTCTCTTCTTTCGTTTTCTCTCTTCAGCCCAGACCAGACCCTGCGCCATTTGTTTTCGTTTTTCACTCTTCTGCGACTGCGTTTGTATTCCGGCTTTCTTCAGTGCAGAGGAGGTCCGAGACAGAGGTGATTCTGGGCTGTTTTATCCTGGGGACGACGAGGCTGGTATACTGCTTGTACTACCTTGGGCAGAGCCGCGAAACGTCTTAAAAAAAGCGACTTAGTCCGCGACTCAACCCAAGATTTTGTTTGGTAAATTCGTTCCTTTTGTGTTCTGCACTAACAGAGCCCGAGTTCAAAACATCACTCACATCAATGGCTGCCGTTCTCTCCCTCCACACCCTCTTTCTCCTCCCATCAAACCGTTCCTCCCAAGCTATTTCCACAAAGCCCCGGGCTGTCCTCAGCCAAGCCAACAAAATGCGAGTCCCCTATGTGCTGAGGCAGGGATAGTCCCGTCTTTTCCACAAGCTCCCTTCTGGGCTGAACATGGAGGTCATTGTGCAAAAGGAAGACCCAGATGAGAAAAAGAAGAGAAACACTGAAAACCCACCTCTGGTTTTCGTCCATGGAAGCTACCACTCTGCTTGGTGCTGGGCTGAGCACTGGTTGCCGTTCTTTTCAAACTCTGGCTACGATTGCTATGCCGTTAGCTTGTTGGGGCAGGTCTTCTCTCTTTCTCTTTCTCTTTCTCTCTCTAATCTATGTGATTCTGAAATTGTTTACTCTGCATACTCAAAATTGGTTGTTGATTGCTTTTATTTTTAAGGTAGCTTTTATTTCCAATCAGGGTAGTCAAGTTCATTTATTCCCGTATCACGTATTTTCAATGTTGATGCCTCGTCAATTATTATTTGTTATTATTATTATTTTCTTAGGGAGCTTTGGTTTTTACTCTTATTGAATTGATCCTCATTCCATGCGTTGTTTGATCCTAAATGTGTATAAGGATATAGGCTAAATTCCAGACCCAAACAAAAAGGACATTTATTTGGAGTTCAGATATTTCGTTTGTTTGTTTTTTGGGCTGAATTTGAATAGGAAAAGGGCAGAAATGTGGTCTCATTTATAACCATAGCTCCTTCCCTAGGAAAAGGGGACAAATGTGCTCGCACTTATTAAAGCAAGTATACAGTTAGAAGCAATGTTTACCTGTATCGCCATAACACGAGTGTAGTTGTCTGAAAACATGTAGATCACTCTAGTGGGGGAAAACCAACGAAAAGAGTGCTAGCACATTGACGCTCAAGTCAGCAAAGTGATTGATAATATGCTAGAAGATGATTAAAGAGTGTGTATAACACAATCAAAGCAAGTATTCATAGAAGAAAGAAGACAAAAGATTATAATGGTCCTATGATTATCTGTCGGTGTAATCGTAGGCCTTTACCTCGTGGTAGTCATTATCTTGAATGATTTGAACTTGTGTAGATGAGGTTGACCCGAATTTGAGGGACATGTGATCTCTGGATAATTGGATTTTCTACTAGTTAGTCTTTCTGATTTTCTACTTCCTCTAATTGGTTAGGGTGAAAGTGATGCGCCTGCTGGTTCTGTTGCTGGTACTCTCCAGGTATCTTAGCTATCATCAGCAAAAGCTCCTTATACAGGCTAATTTGATAATTTGGATTCTCTTGCTTCTATTTTCTACACATCCACCAACACTTGCTGTATTTGCCATAATGCTGCTCTTATTTCACGTTTCACTCCAATTTCTGCAGTAGACACACGCAGGTGATATTGCTAACTTCATCAACAGAAATCTCAAGTCACCACCAGTATTGCTTGGACATTCATTTGGAGGGCTTATTATTCAGTCCTACATTGCAAATCTTAAGAATGACCAACTCTTAGGTAACCTTCTACTTTTACTGGTTTATATTCAAGTAAAGAACTCAAGAAGGATAATGCCGTGTGAATGATATTATTTATTTATTTATTGTAATAGTTGCGTTATAAATTGGAACTGATTTCAGTGTGCAGGGTGATATATCTTTTAAGACAGGCCTGAGATTAGAATTTTTTATTTTCAAATAAAACAAAATGGCTGTTATACCAGCACAAGTTTGAGTGTTAAGTGTTGAACCTCAAGACACTACAGTTGTGCTTTCTATTTTCTATCAATCTTAGGGTTTGTTTGCTTCACAGGTTCATCAAGTTTTGAACCCATAAACAAGTGAATCGGTGTTTGGTTAATTTTTCTGAACCTGAGTTGTGGGTTTAGAACCCATTTTTTAGAAGTTCTCATGTTTTTAAACTTATTTGCTACATCATTTCTGGCTTAAAACCTTGGCTGATGGCTCTATTTCTGGTTTACTCATAATTCTCAGTTCTTACACTTGTCAAATACCAGTTCAAACTTTATTTTGATGTGATGTTTTATTCCCTGTTCAAACTTTACACTTTCAAACGCCAATTTGAATCAGAGTAAAACGCATACTGGTTCAGAACTTTTGGTTTAAATCCAAAAGGTTTTAAATCACACAATTCGACTGACAAAACGAACGGCCTTTAATTTCATAATGGCTTCATCCAATCATGTAATCTATTTCATATATATGATGTCAAAAGATAGAATTTTCAGCTTTTCTTGTGTATGAAGAGAAATTTTGTCATCTAGACTATATATATATATTATTTTTTTGATTCACCTTAATTCCAGAAACGGGAAATTTATATCCTGAGCTAACTGGCGCTGCACTAGTCTGCTCTGTGCCCCCTTCGGGTAAGAGGTAAATCACGTATAGTCCCTTTTCCTTTTTTTTTTTTTTTTTAATATTCATTTTGATGTCAATCAACTCAAAAATGACAACGCTGTCATATTCTCGGTGGCTTAAGACGCGTTTGAAACTCGTTTTAAATTGAAACGATTTTATTTTTTGTATGAAAATAAAAATGAAAACGTTTTTAATCTCAAACAGAAATTATTTTTAAAAATGCGTTTGGTAATTTTATCAAGAGATTGTTTTCAGTATAAAAAAATCTATTAATGTCTCTCGAATAATTCGAGAGATAAGAAAACAAAAATAAAAAATTATTTTATATTAAATTAAAAAATTATTTTTATTTCTATTTTTTTTATTGTATTAAATGTTGTTTTAAAAATGTTTTTATTTTTTCTTTCTAAAATAAAAATGAGAGTCAAAAAGTTTTTTGAAATGAATTTCCTGTTATTCCGATTCTTGATTAGTAAACTGATAAGCCCCCGATTCGTTTTACATATGCTAAGCACGTGTCTTAGCTGAGGTGGCCTTGTGCTGAGGTCATAAAGAGGTGGGAGAGCAGTGTGTGCTGGCAGGATTAATTGAATTAGTTAAGGTCCCGTTCATTTCGCTGATTTGAGTTTAGAATTCGAGTTTTATTACAGTAAAAAGCTCTCATAAATAATCACATCTAACTTTTTTACTACAGTAAAAAGTTCTCACATAAAATCACACTTCAACTCGAATTAAAAACTTGAATCAGTAAACTAAACGGGTCCTTAATTGTGCATGAAAAAAATTGCAGTTAGGCAAGTTCTTAGCTATTTAGTGGGTGGGGCATGTGCGTGGAAAGGCATCTTGGCATTTCCTGACATTTTCTGAGTGGACTTGGGAGAGAGCTGGTCCTCTCGAAAGACCAGTACTCTCTGTGTTTCCTTTTTCGTTATCAATAAAATTATATTCCAGATTTTTCTTCCTTCCTGTACTTGGGCTCTATGATAAACACTCTTTTCAAGTCCAGCCAAAATGCAATATTGATCCCAAATCATACGTATAAACAGAAACGACCAAGATCTTTCTGGAAAAAAACAAAAAAGCGACGAAAGGCTTTCCCGTTAACCGCGTAATCACTCTCTCAATCTTCTCTTCTCTGTCTCTAGCTGATATGTATTTTTTATGTTTATACTTTTTTTAAGTTTATACTTTGTGAAGATTTCCCTTTTGCTCTGTAATTTTTAGGTTATTTTGTGGATTTAAATTTTTAATTTGAATTGAAATATGATATTTTTTAAGAGTTTTTAACTGTAATAAAAAATTAAATGTGATATTTTTTAAAAATTTTTAATTGTAAAAATTTAAAATTAAAAACTCATATCAGTGAAATAAACGAGGTCTTAGTTTACTCTTATAGAAATTGGAATTCACTTTGCGTTGAAGATGATTGTTTCGTAATTATTGACTTTGTTTATGTTGAATCTGCAAAGTGTATTTCAAATGAATAAATTTTCTGTGCAATCTCTTTATGGGAAAAAGAGTAAAAAAAAAAAAAAAAAAACCATATGTTGATTTCTCAAATTGAATTTTTTAAAAAATTGTATGAAAGTGTGGTATTGATCGAATCACATAAATTAAAATTTAATGCGATTATTATTTCATGTTAATTTAATGAAGAAGAATTTTACTGTCGTTCGATTAGGAAGTTAATCTTGAACTCCTTCAATACTATCTTGAGTTTTAAATTCTAAGAATATCACGGTTCTTTCTCAACGTATCTTCATATCAACGTGAATTTGATTGAGTATGCGTTTTAATGGGTTTTTTAACACATAAGATAGATGAATGAGAATGTCATTTATTATTATCACTTTTTAAAAAAAAAAAAAAAATATGTAATATCTCTCAGTAGCTTTTTTCTCTTCTCACCTTTCTTCTATTTTTTTTTTTTCTTACGTGCAGCTTTTTTTTCTTTTGCATGAGGAACACATTTTTTTCTTCCTCAATTTTTTTTCACACAGTTCCTTTTCTGGAACTCCCACTATACATGCTGTTGCACGTATTTTGTTTTGCTTTATGTGGGAAACGAGGTACTTTTTTTTGTTTGGAGGACACGTTTCCTCCTTTTCCCTTTATTTATATATATATATATATAAATGAGAGATGCGGAGAGATTAAGGGCCCGTTTAGTTCGATGATTCGAGTTTTTAATTCGAGTTGAGATGTGATTTTATGTGAGAGTTTTTTATTATAATAAAAAAGTTATATGTGATTGTTTGTGAGAGCTTTTTACTGTAGTAAAACTCGAATTCTAAACTCGAATCAATGAAATAAACGGGGCCTAAGAGTGTAAGAAAAATTTTCTCTTTCTAGATTCATTCATATTAATTTAAAATAGTTTTAAATTAATTTTAATATTAATTAATCAAATTAATTAATATGTGTATTTAGAATTTAAAATTTAAAATTAATAAGCATAACTCAATATGATATATAATTCACATTAATTTTATGGAGCCATTGAGAGTAACTATAGACACTATAATTTTAAGCTCTAATAATTTTAACAATTAATTAACACTTTAATTAATATATCAAAATTATTAATTTTAAATTACTCCACTATAAATTTAAGATTGCACTCTTAAAATTATAAAATAATTATGTTCACAGAATTTGTGTTGTCTATTAATATAGTTGCTACATATGAATTAATCCTCCATAAACGGTTCATAATTAAAGTTAGGAATTTTCCGTTGATCTCTTTAATTATATATTTCTCCATAAGCACCATTGATCATTTAATGAATAATATATTTTATGATCCAATCATAAAATTGAGCGTTCTTATTATTTAAGTCTCAAATCAACACTTTTCAGAACCGTCCATCTACTTCATTATGAAGGAATAAATTTCATCTTGTAAATTAATATTCCTGGTTATTTATTTTACTATGCTCCTAATATACTAAGACTTTAACACTATTCATATGTGTCATTACTCAATATGTCAAAGAACATAATATCATAAATAGGAGTCTATTAATTACTCATAATTGAGATTAATTCATATATGACCATCATTGATTAATATCGAATGCTTTATTTAATAACGGAATTTATTAGAGATTCATAATTAATCGCGTTTCGGTCATATGTAATCATATTACATAAAGTGCTTTCATTCCAATAATCTCATTATTAACAATTTAGGATAAGATTGTTTCATTCAGAATGAAATAAACCGCACTAGTAATTTTAAATTAAACATCCTAACTTTAATTTATAATTATGGACAAGTTTAGATTATTTTACTTCAAACATTATCTTCTGCATATAACACTTATATATAATGTTTAAAGTTACATCTAAAATAATCTAGAAATTTTTAATATTTATAAAATGTCATATGCATGCAAATAATATTAAAAAAATTTCTCATTTCATTAATAATTAGTAAAAATATTTACATCTTTTTTTATTTATAGGCATGTACCCAACACCGTACCCTTCGGCGCTAACGATAATATGTCAAAGAAGGTGTTCTTTTTCTAGAAGTAATCTCAATCTCATATCTTAGAGAATCTTTTCAAATGCGAAGGAAATCGCAAAAACGTTTCAGAGATTTCTTTTCCGGGAATTGTGATCGCCATGGAAATGGTTTGTGCAATTCCGGGGAGCCCTCTTTATCTCCGACGTATAAGAAACTGAAGCAACTCTGGTTTTTGATCTTTTCACTACGTATATACTTCTTTTAGAGAATTCCGTGGCAGGGTAATATACCCAACATTAAAATTAATACATTATTAAGTCCCTGTAATTGGATTTAGTTAGTGAAACAAAGATGATTTTAAAAAAACAAAAAAAAAAAAAAAAAAAAAAAACTTAAACTGCAATATATATTTGTGTAATTATCTATTCTTAATGTGGGAAATTCCTTTATTATCAGAATTTCCCACTTTTTTTTTGTTTGCAAATTACAACGGGTTTCCCTCTTGTATATAAAAGAGAAAAGGAGAAACTAGAGCAATTAAAATACATTTACAATATTCTCAAATAATCTTTACATACATAAAAAAGTCGACTTTTTCTCTCTTTTAATATGTCATTATAAAAAAGTTTCTCCTTCTCTTTGACACATTACATCATTTTTTTTTCTTTTCTTATTTTTAAAACATTTTCAATGATTTATTTTTTCTTTTTTCCTATTTCGTTTTTATTAAGAAATAATAAATTAAAAAATATAGAACTTTTGAAGAAAACTGAAATCTTTGTATTAAAAAGATATAACACGTTGAATGCACAACAGTGATCTTTCATTTCTTTATATATATGTATTTACTTTGTTAAAGAATTTACTTCTTTATTTCTTTTCTTTTTGGAATGAAAGTTTTCTTTCTCTTTAGAAAACTATGAATCTAAAAGAGAAATAGAAAAGCAAAAAAA